ACAGCTGTGGTCACTGAGGATTGCGTAAGGAGTCTTTAAAAAAATTCCTTGGGTGAACTGTTCCTTTAACCTCTTTATTGTGTATCGAATGTTCTAGCAGGGGTGCAGTCATCTGCACTGACGGGAGAAGTGTGGGTTGGGGGGATTGGAGCAGTAAAGGTTCATGCTAGTGGGTGGCCCACCGCAAGGCCTGGATCCTGACTCAGCAATCAAGGCTGTTCCTTACCGCAGCAACTAAGCTTAGCCTGACATAAGCCAGAAGAGCGCTCACAAGCTTCAACACTTTACGCAGCCAATAAAACCAACTGAGCTCTTTAATAAACTTCCATGCCAGACATGCTTGACACGTAATAGAAGAACAAAGAGCAACAAACACCAGGACAAACGGTGCCACTCCACCCATTGTGTAAGTGACTAAGAAACAAAATATAAACACTAATTACGTTTGGAGACATAAAAAACAAACTACAAAATGAAATAGATGTGTTTGCACCACTCAATGGAGCCATGTCCAATTAAACTACAGATGTACCATGAAGAAAAATACCCTGTGATATAGTTCAAAGTAATTACTGTCCAAACGTCAGCCATCAGAAGAAGAATTCCTCTAGCTTTTTCGCAATAATTTATTATTTATGTATTCGTATCTGAGTTAAATTATACATTAAAAAGTAGAAAAGGTAACCCGATCAAGAATAATACCGTGCGTCAGTCGTCTTGACAGCCAAAGTAATCAAAGCCTCAGAAACAAAAGCACTGTGCCTCTGTCTTGGCCAGTTCTGCAAAACGGATTGCCAGTAAGTAGTACTCCGAGTCATGCAAAGAAAAATACACATCTTTCTTTCACTCTACCTTTTTTTTTTCAGGCCAGGAAGCGCAGAGTTGATTTTGGCAGAGTTGGAAGCCAAAAGACTTTCATTAATATATCAGACACTGCAATTTCTAGTCATGTTCTCAGAATTTTTTTTTTACATTTTCTAACTGAAAATTTTTTTAAACATAAACCTCACTAAATTTAGTTAGATTTATGCATTTAAACAAATACAAACAAACAAGCAATATACCCTGAAGGATAAACTGTTCTCAAGATGAATGTTCTCAATAAAAGAAAAAAGTGTTAAAATATAACACACACGTATATACAACCAAACAAGATGATACAAAAATACTGATTAAGAAATGGCCTCATTTGCAGTATGAAAACAACATCCTACCATTATTTACCTCATCTGATTTTATTATGAGTGAGCAATAAAGAACATCTTTACAATGTTGCTTTCTTTTTGAAAATAGTTTCTTTCTGTATTTCCTTACATCTCTTTATTCCCCATTCAGCACTCTTTCCCAATGGCATTGAAAACCACTGAAAAAACATATTTCCATGTCAACGGCTTATAAAATGTAAAAAGGATCTCTTCTGTTCCACTGGGATAAAGAGTAACTTTTGCCAACTATCTGGCAGCACTTTGATATTTTGAGTGAATGGGAGAATAATCAACTTAATAGTGAAAATGTGTTAAAATCAAACTGTGTGACAGATCCAAACAGACAGCTTGTCTGAAGGAGCTAGAATAGTTGCTAACACTTTCTGTCCACGGATGCACTAACTCAGCGAAAAGGGCTGTGCTGGGATGCAATGTATCCACTGAGAGGGCACACACTTCTACATGGACCCTGCAACCCACCAGCCCTGCACAGCACAGTAACACATTCTGCTGGATTCCTTCACCAAACTTCCTCACTCGTTCCCTACACCCACCTTACAGCCGTCAAGCCAAGAAATGAGCCTGCATTACATGAAATACATCAGAGACTCTACAAGTTACAACAGAAACACCAGCATTTTAGACTCTGTAGATGCAGGCTGTATCATTTCTGCTTACTGTCTAGGCCTGTCACGATAACAACTTTTTCTTGCAGATGAAACCTTTTTTGTAGAAGCCCCTTTTAAAATTGAACTAGCACCTCATGACTACACCACGTTATGTACGAGAAGCTCCAAAAGACACAGGCGCAAGTGGAATGTGCAAAACATGGTGACATTAATTTTTATGTAAATATAATGGGCGATATATTGCATCACCAAAAAATATTGAGGTCATGAACATATATTGCGCGATAAGTCGATATGTGACCCTGGACCACAAAACCAGTCTTAAGTGTCAATTTTTCGAAACTGATTTATACTAGGGATGTTCATTTCGGTTATTTTTCCTAACTAGTTTAAAAATTGTGTACTTTTACTTTTACTTGAGTACATTTTAAGTGATGTATCGGTACTTTTACTCCGCTATTTTCCTCCGTTTGTGGTCGTTACATGCTTATTTAATTAAATTTTTTATCCATCAACGTGACTGTATAGAGAGTAATAGGTCTCGTGACTTTCGTCAAATCAAATTGTGCATAGAAAACTTTAACCGCCAACTGTTTATCA